GAAATCTTGCATCTGCTGCTTCACTCTTCCAAATGGCCACAACACCCAGGACAGGGCCAGGCCAAGACCAGGAGCCAGGAGCTTCTGAGTTTCTGATGTAAGTGCAGTGGAGCAGCTGGGACTCAAACCAAAGCCCATGTAGGATGCAGGAGTTGAAGACAGTGGTTTAACTTGCTGTGCCACAGTGTTGAAGACCAGGCTGATACCCCTGGCTGCCTCCTGGTTCAGCTTGGGCTCATGTGGCTATCTGTGGAGTGACCCAATGAATGGAAGTTGTCTCTTCCTCTCTGTAACTCTTTCAAATAAATAAGCAAATTTTAAAAATTATTTTGATTGGAAAGTATGATATACAGAGAGGAGGGGCAACAGAGAGGAGGATCTTCTGTCCATTGATTCATTCCCCAAACGGCCACAATAGCTGGAACTGAGCCTGTCTGAAGCCAGGAGCCTGGAGCCTCCTCCGGGTCTTCCATGTGCATGCAGGGTCCTAGGCTTTGGGCTGTCCTCTTCTGCTTTCCCAGGCCACAAGCAGGGAGTTCGATTAGAACTGGCGCCCATATGGGATCATGGTGCTTGCAAGGCGAGGACTTTAGCTGCTAGGCTACTGCGCTGGGCCCAAATAAGCAAATCTTAAAAATAAAAATGAAAATAGGGAGTATAACAGTGTTTGTGTTGTGGTGGTGCAGTAGAGTGTTACATAACAACATTTCAGGGAGCAGTGAACTGCACAGAGGACATGATAGACCATAAAAGCCAGATTGTACTGGCTAGGTATGTATAAATAACCCTGATGTTTGCACAACGATGAAATCACCTTTCTTAGAATGTGTTCCTGTTGATAAACCATATGTGACTTTATTTGATTGTGGACTTGAGAAAAAGATTTATTTATTTTCACTTGAAAGAGTTAGAGAGAGAGAGAGAGAAAGAGAGAGAAAGAGAGAGAGAGAGAGAGAGATCAGAGGGATCCTCCATCCATTGGATCACTCCCTAAATGGTTGTGATAACCTGGAACTGATCTGATCTGAAGCCAGGAGCCAGGCACTTCTTGGTATCCCTTGTGAGTACAGGGAACCAAGCATCTGAGCCATCTTATGCTGCGTTTCCTGGCCACAGGCAGGGAGCTGGATCAGGAGCAGCCAGGACTTGAACTGGTACCCATATGGGATGCTGGCACTGCAGGTGGAGTAATCAGCATGTTACAGCACGGCACCAGTGCTGATTGTGGACATCTTTAAAACCAGAATTATTTAAATCTCCCAACTGTAGGTGATTGCCTAGGTTGCATTGTACCTAGGCAAGTGTTACACTGCTGGGAGAAAAACAGCCAATCGCTGGCGGGCATTCTGTGTTAACTATCAAGTGTGCCAGCATAGTTGCCTATTTTATCTAAAAAGGTATGTGGGGAAGGGAGAGAATACCGGGTCGGGACATGCCATGCTGACCCAAAGGCAGGGTGGATGTGGGGGCTGCAGATTGCCTAGAGAAGGGGGTCTGAGGATGTGTTGGAGTGGGAGTGGCCGAGCACATATTTGATAGGGGAGGAATGACTTCTGGGGTCTTCCACAGACTGAGTCATTGCACTCACAGGTAGGTAAGGGAGCTAAAGACTGGGTCTGTGGTGGACTGGGCTAAGCTAGGCTAGGCTGCAGTACCCATCAGTTTGCATGAGAAATGGGTCTGGGGGGTGGAACTGACCAGACAGCTGCATCCACTGTTATGTACACTGGCTGATGCAGGTGGTGGACCAAATCTGACCCTGCACTGGCTGGTGCACACAGACAAGTCTGAGGTTCTGCCAGGTGAGGTTTCTTGGAGGAGCCCCTCCCAACTAAATGGCTGGACTCAAACCTTGGCCACAGGGATAATCAGAATCTATGTGGTCTGACTTTGGAGTGTGTGTCGAGACTGGGACTCCTCAGTTGGCTGATGGCTGGGCAGTGGATGGCATGCACAGGGGTACATGGTGGACAGGACGGCTAGCTCAACTAGGCCAGCAAGGGAATGTCAAGTGCCTGCTTAGAGGATGGATCACTCTCCTGGCCAAGTGTTGCAGCATGCTCCTGGGTCTGTGGATGCACTAAGATGGTATTTGTCAGCCACCTGGAAACTGTCTCAACCCTGTGCCACAAACCTCACAATGTCTCAGAACTACCAAAACCACTCAAGTAACACTGTCATAACACTCTCCACATCAGGGTCTCCCAGGTGACACCACATGACCATCCTCCACCCCTGGGTGTCAATATAGTTGACAGCAAGGAGTGGGACACAGGAAAAAAACAACTGAAACATTTGTCTCACCACCTTCCTCCACACCTCCATCCTCCTCACCTTAATTGGAGACCCACATGGCCATGCATCTCTCTCAACTATGTAAACAGTGTTAAAAGTAAAATAAAGCCAAAATTATTTAAATTGATAAAACCTAATCATATATACTTATGATGTGCTATATGAATTTTTGCACATCTTCATTATTATTATTATTGTTTTATGGTATAGTTCCATCAGTTTCATAGGCTATGGGATTTCCTCTCCACTCTCCCTATCTGCCCTCCCCTCCACTGATCCCTCTGCATTATTACAATAATACAGTCCTTCATAAACTGTCCTAAGTCGATCATTCTGCTATTTAAGTGTTCCTGCCATTGTGGGTGTGGAATCCAGCATCCTATTGCCAAGACACTTTCAACAGTCTCATTGGGAGTCCATCTTTGATTTAGAAGTAGAGATGCATATTGCATGGTATCTTCTTCTTTTTTTTTTTTAAAGATTTATTTTATTTTAATTACAAAGTCAGATATACAGAGAGGAGGAGAGACAGAGAGGAAGTGGAGATGCCGGGATTAGAACCGGCGACCATATAGGATCCCGATGCATTCAAGGCAAGGCCCTTAGCCACTAGGCTATGCCACCAGGCCCTGCATGGTATCTTCACATCTGGATATAATAATCTATTACACAGTTACTGTACATCAACTTAAGTGAAAAGCCATAAAACTAAATCGACAGCAGAGAGAAAAATAAAAAATTTACAACAATATTAAGTTAAATAATATGCTACTGAATGACCAATGTGTTGCTGAAGAAATGAAAAAGAAAATCTAAAAGCTTCTTGAAGAAAACAATGCTTATGTAATCTATTTGTCACTGAAAAAATGAGTAATAAAAACAAACTTTTTTGAAAAAATGAAAATAAAACCAAAATATCAGAACATATGAGAGTTAGTAAAGCAATAGTGAGAAAGATATTTATAACATCAAGTGCTTACAAAAAATAGAAATATCACAAAAAGGGGATCTAAACTGCAATTGAGGAGTTATTAAAAGAAAAAATGAACAGGAAGCAAGAAATGCTAAAAATAAAAACGATAAATGATAAAAGTAAAAAACAAGAAATTAGGGCCCGGCGCGGTGGCGCAGTGGTTAAGGTCCTTGCCTTGCACCCCCGGGATCCCATATGGGCGCCGGTTCTAATCCCGGCAGCCCTGCTTCCCTTCCAGCTCCCTGCCTGCAGTTGAGGACGGCCCAAGGCTTTGGGACCCTGCAGCCGCGCGGGAGAGGCTCCTGGCTTCGGATCGGCATAGTATCGGCCATTGCGCTCACTTGGGGAGTGAATCATCGGACGGAAGATCTTCCTCTCTGTCTCTCCTCTCTGTATATTCGCCTTTCCAATAAAAAAAAAAATAATAAATCTTTAAAAAAACCAAGAAATTATAAAAATAAATGAAATTGAAACTAAAAAGCTACAATTTTCAACAAAAAAGCCATTTTTAAAAGATTTATTTATTTTTATTGGAAAGTCAGAATACAGAGGAGGAGAGACAGATCTTCCATCCTAAGATTCACTTCCCAAGTGGCCACAATAACCAGAGCTGAGCCGATTCAAAGTCAGGAGCCAGGATCTTCTCCCAACACAGCTGCAGGATCCCAAGGCTTTGGGCCATCCTTAACTGAATTCCCAGGCCACAGGCAGGGAGCTGGATGGGAAGAGGAGCTGCTGGGATTAGATCCGGCATATGTAAGGTGAAGACTTGAGCCACCAGGCCACTGTGCTGGGCCCAAAAGAGCCATTAAAAAAAAAAAGATTTATTTTTATTGTATAGCCAGATATACAAAGAGGAGAGAGACAGAAAGGAAGATCTTCTGTCCGATGATTCACTCCCTAAGTGGCTGCAATGGCCGGAGCTGAGCCAATCCAAAGCTAGGAGTTTGGAGCCTCTTCTGGGTCTCCCACTTTGGTGCAGGGTTCCAAGGCTTTGGGCCATCCTCAAGTGCTTTCCCAGGCCACAGCAGGGAGCTGGATGGGGAGCGGGGCTGCTTTAACTGCTAGGCTATTGTGCCAGGCCTCCAAAGAGCCATTTTTTTAAGAAGATGAGCAAAACACTTTTAGCCAGACTAGCAAAGAAAGGCAAAAGAGAAAAACCAAGTAAAATTAGAGATGAAAAAGAAAACGTCCTAAGAAACTAGTAATGTATCCTTTTTTCAATAACAAGATTTATTTACTTTAACTGCAAAGTCAAATATAAAGAAGAGGAGAGACAGAAAAGATCTATCACATGATGATTCACTCCCCAAGTGGCTGCAACAGCCAGAGCTGAGGTGATCAGAAGCCAGGAGCTAGGAGCTTCTTCTGGGTCTCCCACACAGGCGCAGGGTCCCAAGGCTTTGGGCTATTCTTGACTGCTTTCCCAGGCCACAAGCAGGGAGCTGGATGGGAAGCGGGGCTGCTGGGATTAGAACTGGTGCCCATATGGGATCCTGGTGTGTGCAAGGCAAGGACATTTACTGCTAAGCTATTGTGCTAGGCCTTTTTTTTTTCTTTTGAGTGAATGTATCCTTTGATCATTATGGGGTGTCCTTCTTCATCTCTTTTTAATTTTTTTTCACATCTGATATAAGAATGGTGACACCAGCTTGATTTTCTTTACCATTAGCCAGCAATATCTTTTTCCATCCTCTCACTTTCAATTTCCATGTATCTTTTTGGTGAGATATGTCTACTGTAGGGAACAGATAAATAGATTTTGTTTTTTGATTCAGTCTGCTAATCGATAATGCTTGATCGATGAGTTTAAGCCGTCTACATTCAGGGTTAATATTGATAGGTAATTTGGTCCCGTCATTTTAGCAATCTTTTGTTGTTTTATTGGAACATTTTCCAGGTTTGCCTTTGGGTTTTGTAGGTACGATTCCTTTTTTTTTTTTTTGACAATAGAATATCTTTATGTATCCTTTAGGGTAGATCTGGAAGAGGCAAAATCTTTGAGCTTTTCTTTACTGTGGAAAAATTTTCTTTCCTTTTCAAAGACAAAGGAAAGCTTTGCTGGTTAAGTTATTCTTGGCTGACAATTTTTTTCCTTCTTTAGAATCTGGAATATGTCACCCCATTCTCTTCTGGCCTGAAGAGTTTCCTTTGAGAGGTCAGCTGTGAGTTTGATGGCCATTCCTCCATATGTTAATTGATTTTTTTGCATATTTAAGGATCTTTTCCTTATGTTCAAGTGGAGAGAGTTTGATTATCATGTGTAATGGTGAAGATTGCTTTTGGTCAACCCTATTGGGAGATCTGTGCTATTCCTGTAGTCTGCTTCCTAATTCTTTCTGCAAATGAGGGAAGTTTTCCTGTAATATTTCTTTGAATACATTTTTAAACCTAATTTTTTTTGTCTGTGCCTCCTGGAACTCCAATAACCCTTCCATTTGGCCTTTTAGTGTAGTGTCTTTTATTTATTTATTTTTAAAATTTTACTTTTGATGATGTTTACATAGTTGATCAGGGGAGAGTAGGGGAGACCATTGTTTACTACAGAGTCTCTTCTTCCTGTATCTGGGGGAGGGAGGAATACAAAGGGAGAAACCATGCCCAATCTTCCAGCTGCCTCAGTGCCTGGAGATGAGGAAATAGCCCCCTGATGTCTGATGTCATACCAGGGTCCCTGTGGTAGAGCATCTTCTGAGGGTTCTGCTCAAGGGGTTTCCATAGTTCTGAGATGCTGAGGTTATTACCACTCCTTGGAAGGATGAAGAAATCCTTCTGAGTTCAATTGGCTGACCTAGTCCACCTCTGTCATCCAGAAATGCTCCAGCGTCCACATGACTGCATAGTTTCCAGGGTCCTCACGGGCACGGAGCACATGACCATGCCTCCACAAATCTCTGTCGCCAAGCTTTCTGTTCCCCAGCAGCTTCGGGGCCCTGGCCTTTCCCCACCCTCCCTCCTGGACCACTGTGGGCCAGCCTCTTGTCTTCTTCCACACCCATACCATCCTCACTTTGCTGTTAGGGAAGCAGTCAGCGGGCATGGCGTCTGTATTTCCTTCCTCTTCTCAGCTTGATTCTTCTGCTTGCAGTCAGAAGCATCAGTTCTTTCTTGGAGTCATCAGTGACTACATCCTGAGGCTTATTTCTGTGATAACAAATCAAAATAACTTGGCGTTTCTCTAGCTGATTCACTCTTTAAGTCTCTGCTCATGATTTTGTTGTTTTGTCTGAAAGCCTCATGTGAGAGGAGATAGCGATGGAAATGGAAGAGGTTGAGGGGTGTGTGTGTGTGTGGGGGGGAGGATCCTGTTGTCCTGGCAACAGCAGGAGCAAGTGGAGGGATCTGCCTATGACCTTGCTGGCACTGCCGTGGACTGGCCAGCTCCGTAGGTGGACGCCTACATGAAGACTGTCCGGACTGGTGTGCCCACCTGTGGGACACAGCGTCGGAGGCTTGGGCTCACACCAGGCTAGTCACCGGAAGGCATGTCCCCTATGGCTGGCAGCTCAGGAGTAAGGGGCGCAGAGCCCCCTTTCTGGGGACTCAGAAACAGGCGCTTCCTTGCTCTGCTTTGTCCGAGTGTTGAGGGCTTGCATGCGTCTGAAATAGTTTCTTCGGCTTATATTGAAGAAGCAAGGAGTTGAACGTGGCTGTTAGCCTAGCTCTGCTTTAAGGCCTCTCTCAGAGACACATGGGCACCACTGTCCTCCTGCTGCTGTTTGCAGCGGGGGCCTCAGGAGCCTCTGCCTGTGCTGCAGGTGGCTAGGGTGTCCAGTGGTGGGATCTGTGATCTTCTCAGGCCTCACACTGTGGGGTTGAGTACTTTAGCCCCTTTCTGTGCCCCAGTCACCTCCCCAGCATCTTTGCTTAGTTTTAAAGTCTTCTGCAGCCTACTGCAGGATGTTAAAAACCCTCCAATAGCTGGGTGATCTCAGTCAGGAGGGCCTGAGTTGTATGCCTTGTTACATTGTTGCTTGTTGTCCAAACACAGCCCTTTCCCTGTTCTGCTGCTGGGAATAGAGTTAACACTTTGCTACGGTGCAATACAGCGGTATAAACTGGGCCATGGTGGAAGCGCTGGGCTCCTTCAGCAGTGTTTAATTCCACCCAGAACATTTGCCATCCTTTCCCAACCTGCATGCTTCACTGGGGAACACAGTTTTCCGATAATGTTTGGCAGAATGTTGTTTTCAGTAGCTTAAAAAAAAATAATAGAGGAACAAAGGAGACAAATAGAAGCTGGCCTTATGGTGTAGTGAGCTAAACTACCACCCACAAGGCCAGCATCATATATTGGAGCACTTATTTGAGTACCTGTTACTCCACTTCTGATCTGGCTCCTTGTTAATGTGCCTGGGGAGGCAGCATCATGTGTGTGACTCTGCCCTTCAAATCATTTTAAAAAGGAGACTGTAACGAGTGGTGCTGTGGTGAAGTCACTGGCAGTGCCAGCACTGGTTGGAGTCTTGGTTATCTCGTTTCTGATCCAGCTCCCTGCTAAAGTGCCTGGGAAAGCAGTGGAAGATGGCCCAAGTACTTGTACCCCTGCTCCCACATGGGAAACCCAAAGGAAGCCTGGCACTGGCCATTGTGACCATAGGGGAAATGAACCAACAGATGGAAAATCTCCCTCTGTAACTTGGTCTCTTGAATGAATAAACAAACTTAAAAAATAAAATAAAAAAAGGACAAGGAACGCGAATCACAATCTCATCACAGAGACGGTCATCCTCGGCATTTTTCTGTGCTTTTTCGCGGGGCCTGGTGGATGTGTCTGTAGGTGGACTCTGTCGTATGTGCCACATAGGACCATTCCTTTCTATTTACCAGTGTACCAGAATCATGTTTTTCTCCATCATTCAATAGTCTCAAAATAATACCATCTTGAAATTGCTGCAGTATATCTGATCCTGTGGATGCACTGTAATTATTTAACCAGTCCCATTTGTGGGATAGATTTACTGCTGTTTTACAGCTATATATAAAGCTTCAGTGAACATCTTTGCAAATGAGTCCAAGTTGCTGATTTGTTCCTCTCAATGCTTTGCCAGAAGGGTTATTGCCAGGACATTAAGCCACCCCCCGGCTTTCTTTTTTAAAGAAGGTTCTTAGCCCAATTGCCAGGATGCTTTCCAGCAAGTTCCCTCAAAGCTAGACCAGTGAGGCTGACTTCAGCGCCAGCAACCTCATGTCAGGACTGTGGCTGGGAGAGCCCCGGTGTTGGCGGTCCCCATTTCTTCCTGTGGTGCCTCAGATGAAAAAGAGAGGCCCGACTCTGACATGTTACCCCAAGAGTTCTGGGCCCGACGAAAAGAAGGAAGTGTGAAGACGCTGAGAAATCTACCTTCTGTCTGACATGGTGGAAATAGTGAAGATCATCTGGAGGCCTGGGAAGGGAGCTCTTTCTAGAACATTCCATATACCTTCTTAGCTTCTTAATGTCTGCATGAAAAAGTTGTTATTTTAACCTTCAGGGCATCTTGCCTTTAAAAACTTCTTGGATCAGGCAAAAGCCATGTAAATCACCCATGTGGTGATAAACAATGACATTCAGTGGCTTCTCTGTCACTGATCAAGAGCCGAAGCTTCCTGGGGCTCACTCAGGTAAGGCTGCCCCAGTGGACGCCAACACCGTGGCTTCCCAGAGTCCGAGGAGGGCAGCTGTGGGGCGGTGGGATGACCGGCTGTGGTTTCTGGAGTGGTTATCCTTTTCCTGTGTTCAGAGTCTCATAGGTGATTCTCAGAGGACAGGGATGCTATAACACTCATGTGTCTTTGTTTAATATATGGTATACTTTCTTGGAGGAGCTTTGTAGCACTGTCTTAGCTAGAAGCATGCTGCTTACTGCAGGCCGTGTATCCAGCCAGCCAGTGTTGTGACATTGAGTGGAACTGACAACAGTGCCCGGTGGGGGGGAGCAGCCTGAAGAAGCCCTTTTGGAGTGCATCACCACCTTCTCCCAGGCACCCTCTGCTGAGGTGTGCGGGTGCCCTGGGCCACCCAGGGGCAAGGCTCACGTACCAGACCCTTCTAGACTTCTTTCTCTGGGCACTGGCTGCAAGGTGAGAAGCAGCTGATTCCACTGCACGCCAGAGGTGGCGCCACAGAACAGCAGTTGGTTCTGTGATGCTTATGGGGTTGAACTGATGCTCTAGGTTTCAGGACGTCCCCAGGACATTGAATTGGTGCATCATGATTTCAGGACGTCACATGCATTGTGTTCTGCATCTGTAAAATGGATTAAACAACTGGCTGAGGAGCAAGGTGATTGCCTGTGTGAGCTCCTGTTGACTGACCAGAGAAAGCTATCCAGACACCCTCAGATAGAGCTCATATCTGGGCATGACAAGGGGTGAAGGGGCTTTTCCCACTGGCGGCTGGGCAGCCCCACAGCTCAGACCCCTGTGGATTCTCTGGCTTCCTAGCAGATGCCCTGGCAGCAGGGCTCTGACCCTGTGTCTGTTGGTGACTGTTTAGGGGGGAGCAAAGGCATGCCCCGGGCAGGGAGCCCAGCTGGCTACTGGGCACCGCACTGCAAATGAGGGAGGTCCCAGAGGCTTGTCCCTTTTCCAGTTCCTGCAGTGAGTACCCAGATATGATAGACAGTGTCTGGGGACAGGCCTCTGACAGCTCACAACTGCTGCGTTCATGCCACTTGTGGGCTTGCTGCCGAGCCCTGGGGCTTGCCAGGTGTGACCATTTAGACAGGAGTACAGCTGTTCCCATGCCAATCACCTCGTGCCAGCTTGGACAGAAGGAATTAGCGACCCTGCCCTGGCTTGTGCCCGGCGTGTGGCTGACGCTGTGCTAGAGGGCAGCTGCCACGTTCAGGGAGCTTGGTGGCAACAGTTTCTAGAATCGTGTGTGTGTTCTGCGGGTGACACTTCTTCAAAAGAAGAAAAATTTCTCTTCAAGGTGCAAATAACTCCTGGTTGCTATTCCCAGTGTCGAGGAGCCAGTGATGTTTTCTGGAGGTTTCTAAAGGCAATCTCTCACCGGCTCTCTGGGGCGTGGCACTTGACTGCTGGGAACAGACACAGTTTATCTTGCAGAAGAAAACTGTTTTGCAAGAGGTTTCCCACAATTATGGTCAGGGAGGGTCCCTGCCAGCTTTTCTTAGTCATTTGGGCTTAGGGGGAAGGTGGTTTTCTTTTCTTTTCTTTTTTTTTCTGCAGGCAAGAGCCATCTGGGGGCAGGGCACACATGGGTAATTACCCCGGGGGGAGAAGACAAAGGGATTGCTTGATCTGCAGTTCTCAGCGCCTCTGCAGGTGGCTGATGGCTTTTGGTGGAATGTCACCAAGTACCCAGGCTAGGGGGTGAGTCAGAAATCCTTAGGTCACTTGTGGTTTGCTTTCATGGTTTTGCTGTGACTCTTAACTTGTTTTTACTTAACAAGAAAAACAGGTGTTTGGGTGTCTGTTGGAGAGGGTGCTGCCTCGCTCCAGGCAGCTCCCCGTTGTCATGAGCTGTGAGGCCGCACCAGGGTGGGAGACACTAAATGCCCGGTTGGGAAATAAGCAGCAGCTGGCAAACTTCTTAGGAAGCCCAAGTCAGTCCCGAATGAGGCAGGGGGCGACCCCAGGGCACAAATTCTGTACCTGGTTTTCATGGCTTTAAAATGAGCTGGGCAGCTCCAGCCATCAGTTGTTCATTTGAATCATTCATTCATTGGGTCAGAGCTCTGGTGGTGGGAGTGGGGAGGGCGGGGAGGGAGGGAGGTTGGAGGAGGGAGCATGCTTCCAGACCTCTCTGTGGGGGCCAGGGGAGGGGAGGAGATCCTCTTTGGGATTCAGCCCTGAGCCCACAGCTCCCACCTTGAGTTCTGAGTGAGAACAAAAGCAGCACGAGTGTCCCAGCTCTGCTTTGGGCCTCTTCTCTACCAGGCAGATTGTCAGAGGCTGAGGCTCTTCTGTTTGCAGCAAAATGTCAGCGCACATGCTCCCAGGCAAAACGAGGATAAGACCTCCTGCTTTGCCGGTGGCAGGTGCCAGCCACTCCTCCCTGCCCAGGGCCTCAGGCTGGCCAGGATGCATTTCCAGCTTTGCTGCAAAGACCTTCAGACAGGAGGTGGAAGGGTCCTGGACTTTGAGTCTGAAGGTGGCTGGAATCTGCCAGGAAAGTAGAGGAGAGATGCTTTTCCTTTTCAGACTATGAGTGTAAAGAGTCCCAGTACCTGTTCCCAACTCCTGCTGCCTCCCCGCACCCCACCTTAAGCACCATGGCTTAGAGCTGCTTGGGGTCAAAGCCTCAGTCTGTAGCTAGGACCACAGGGAGCTGGAATGTCCTACAGGTATTGCTCAGCCAGTATCTGGGTGCCAACCTGGGTGCTTGCCTCTGAGTCAGAACCGGAGGCCTGGGGGGATGCCTGGAAATCGTGGGGTGCTCCAGCTTGCTCTGCTAACATGGGAAGCTCCCAAGGTTTGCTGCCCCCCCCCCCCCCGCTCCAACCCCTTGCAGCTGGCAAAGAAGAGGCAGTGTGGCTGGGTGAGTCAGACCCCAGAACTATCAGAAGGGACTGTCACAGAGGACTTAGAGAAAGAAGGGCAGCCAGCAGTTGGCTGCTCAGCTATGCTGCCACCCTGACCCGGGGTCCTGACTCTGAGAAGGTAATCCCAGTGTCAGATGAGTCTGTTGTTTTTTGCCTTAAGGGGGTGAGATTTTATTTTTATTTTTATTTATTTATTTATTTATTTATTTATTTTTGTTTTATTGGAAAGGCGGATATACAGAGAGGAGAGACAGAGAGGAAGATCTTCCATCCGATGATTCACTCCCCAAGTGAGCGCAATGACCGATGCTATGCCGATCCGAAGCCAGGAGCCTCTTCCGGGTCTCCCACGCGGGTGCAGGGTTCCAAAGCTTTGGGCCGTCCTCCACTGCTTTCCAGGGCCACAGGCAGGGAGCTGGAAGGGAAGCGGGGCTGCTGGGATTAGAACAGGCGCCCATATGGGATCCCGGGGGCGTGCAAAGCGAGGACCTTAACCACTTGCAACACCTCGCCGGGCCCCGAGATTTTATTTTTTAAAGAGGACTTGAGGGTGAGAAGTCTGTTCGTGCATTGCTGATTGCTTGAAGGACCATCTATAATGATTTACTTATTTGTTTATTTGAAACACATATGCACACACACAAACACACACACACACACACCCTTTGCATTCTATGCTTCTCTTCCCAAATGTCCACATCAGCCAGAGACCTAGGCTGAGCCTGAACTCCATCCAGGTCGCCCAGGTAGATGGCAGAGATCCAACTTCTTAAAAGGCACATTTTTAAAAAGATTTATTTAATTTCTATTGGAAAGTCAGATATACAGAGAGGAGGAGAGACAGAGAGGAAAATCTTCCATCCATTGATTCACTCCCCAAGCGGCCATAAGGGCCATAGCTGAGGTGATCAGAAGCCAGGAGCCTCTTCTGGGTCTCCCACACAGGTGCAGGGTCCCAAGTCCTTAGGCCTTCCTCGACTGCTTTCCCAGGCCACAAGCAAGGAGCTAGATGGGAAGTGGGGTCACTGTGATTAGAACTGGTGCCCATATGGGATCCTGGTGTGTGCAAGGTGAGGACTTTAGCCACTAGGCTATCACACCGGCCCAGAGATCCAGCTTCTTGAACTGTCACCTGCCGCCTCCCAGGGTGTGGCACTTTAGCAGAAAGGAGGAGTCCAGGCTTAAGTTAGGGACTTGAACCAAGGTCCTGATAGGGGATGTTAGTATCCCCTGCAGCAGTTTCTCTGCTGTGCTGGACAGCTGCCACCAAGTTCTCACCTTCATTTTTTGCCTCTCCTGTAGAATCCTCAGCAGGCCACAGGGTGGTGTAAGCAAGCAGGACAAACTCCTAGAGGTTCAGGCTTCTTTGAGTGATGTGTTAGTCCTAGTGAGGGACTCGGGTGGTCCCTGCAGTCCACACTCGGGTTGACTGTGCTCAAGCAGGCCTGTGGGCAGAGAGGGCTGAGGTGGCTTGGCATGGGGCTGTGTGGAGTGATGCCAGGAGCTGCTCAGCAAAGTTCCTAGAGGCTCTAGGCACAGGGCAGGTGCTGGGGACTGTGAGGTTACTGAGGCTGTGGATGGAGGCTGGAGGTTTGGGGGCAGTGCCCTGTGTAGGATTTTTTGTCATTAACCCAAGATGCCAGATGTAGCAAGTCACACAGGAGGCTTTATTCAAGTAGGTGAGGTGGCTGTGAGGAGGTGGAGAGCAGAGGAAGATGGCCATGAGAAAGGAAGCAGAGAGAGAAGAAGAGAGGGGATTCTTGCCATAGTGACAGAGGAGGCTCTGAGGGAGGCGGGTGAGAGAGCAGGAGGGGGAAGAGAGAGAGAGAGGCAGTGGCTCTGTGCTCCATGGCAAGGGGGTGGGTTTTGGGAACACCGGGCCATGGGGGATTGGTGCATAGGGTTGTCAGGCACAGTGCCATGGGCTACAGTGGATTGAATTGGTGGAGAGCTTGGTTACAGCAAATTAGTGGAGAACAAAACTGGGTGCATAACTAAACAGCACCAGACTTTATAGAAACAAAACCAAAGCCAAAACTTGAGGGGAAATGAAGCGGGCATCCAAAATGGGGTCTCATCAGTCTTTAGGCTGATGCTCGAGTCACTTCTCACACTGTGAGCCCCTCTCATGGAGGAGGGTGTTGGCACTGCCTAGGTTCCTTGCTACCCCCCCCTCCCAGGTGTGTGAGGGTGTGGGGTCTGCTGAGCTAGCAGGGACTGTGGAAAGGCTGAACCTAGAGCTCCTGTCAGAGGTGGGCCAAGGTCAGAATCCACAGAAGCCATTCCCAAAGTGTCCCTGGGTTTGATGAGAATTCACTGAGCGCCTAATGTGTATAGAGTCATCTGTAGCTGGTAGCAGACAAGGGGAGGCATCTGACAGAAGCTACCACCATGCTCCCAAAAGCCTGCAGATGTTCTTAGGATAATGGGGGTGGGAAGCGCAGGGACCCACAGAAGAGAAGCATGTTTTTTTTTTCTTCAGATTTTATACCCAGACACTGGTTTTTGTTTTTCCATGTTGCAGGAGTCCCAGTCTATAGTCACTTACCTGCCCAGCCCAGTCTTCCCATCTTTCAGATGGGAACACACAGCCTGGAGCAGGGATGACCCCCAACCACCAAGGAGCCTGTGCGCTCTGTGCCCTGTGTCCCTGGCTCCCAAGGGCATCAGGTACGGCAGGGTTGAGCTTTGCTGCTGGTGCTGCTTGGTCTTCCCATCTGTCTTCTTGAATGCATGTTGAGTGATCATGACCTGAGTGAGTTCACTCTTGGTACAGGGCAGGTGTGGCCAGGCTGAGCACTTCCTCTGAATGCTGCTGGGAGACCTGTGCCCCTTCCATTGAGAGGGGGAAGGCAGGCTGCATTTTTTGGCCTCTGTTTCCTAGAATTAGCGAACCCATTCTGTGAGCAGAGTATGAGCTGTGAACACTTCTTTAACACTAGGGCCTGGGTGAGAAGGGGCTTGACTGCACCTGCCACCCCTCTGTGTTGTGGATGTCCTCAGTTCATGGGGAGGGATGGAGACTACCTCTCTCCCTCCTCAGGGCTGAGATGTTGGGGTGAGGGCTTTGCTTCTACCCAATTCACTGACCTGTCCTGGGCAGGTTGGGGGGAGCCACATACATGGGGGAATGTGGCTGCCAAATTGATTCCGATGCCGTGTATACCACAAGTGCTACCCCTGGGAAGAAGGTCAGGCTTCTTAGTTTTTTCTCATACATAGGGCTGACAAATAATAATTGTGTGTGTTCATGAGGCACAGTGCGACATTTCACTCCATGTATGCGATGTATAAGAATTGGATTAGAATCATTAGCAATACGCACCAACTCAGTTATTTATCATTTTGTTTTGGGAGCATTGAAAATCTTCCTTATTGCCTGTTTTGAGCCATGCAATTAGTTGTTGTGGACCATGGTCACCCTACGTTGCCATAGGACATTATTACAAGTTGTTCCTCTTATCCACCTGCACCCTGCACTGTCCTTTCTCCATCTCCCTGCCCATTGTCCTTCCCAGCCTCTGAGAACCACTCTTTGCCAGCCCCTTGATTGCCCGCATTCAGTTACTGCACCAACCAGCCGAGGCAGCTCTTTCCAAACAGGACTTAGTGGACCTGACTCTCTGCTCCGGACAGTCCAGACCTTAACTTTAGTGGGGACCATATTGGGTGACCCCAGTTCAGCCTCTGACACAACTGGCTTCTCTGATTCACCTTCTCCAAGGAGCTGTGAACTTTGAAAGCTTGGGAACATTTAATCTTTATTTTCATCAAGTGCCTTTCATGCTTGAACTGTAAGGTTTTAGGGAAATGTGAGTTTTCTCAAGCACATCACAGATTCACTGAGAGCTGACAGCTCTTGTTAATGACTTGGCTGTGGATGTCCTCAGTGGGTGCAGTGATGGGCTGCATGCCTCTCCTTGGCCAGTCTGTGCTCCTTTTGGCAAGGCCTCAGCTGATGAAATACGCAGATTTAGACCTGGAGGCATGTGCAGGCTGTTGTGTTAGTGGCAGTTGGTGCTGGCTGTTTGCTGGGACGTCATTTGGGGCTGCTAGCTGAAACACCTGCCTGTGGTCTGGGCTTTCTCGTGACCTCAGGATGGTGCTATTCTCATGTTTGTTCTTGGGGTTCAAGACTCTAACCACCAACGGGAGCCTCTTTGTACTGTCAGGCTTTGGAAGTTACACAGGACAATGTTGTATTCTTTCAGTTGCAAGCAAAGCCCAAGCCTGAGCAGATTCACGAGGTCGGGAAATGAGATTGAGTCTGTTGGTGGAGGAACAGAATGTTCTAAAAGAACACTGGATTGGGAGTTCTGCTTTGGAGATGCCATCTGTCCCAGTCCATGGAGGAAAAGGGAATGGCACTACTTATTTTGCGTGTCCAGTTTTTTGCATGGGCATGAACTTGAGAGCAGCAAAAGCCAGCAGGAGAGCAACCTGCAGACAGGCAGGAGTGGACTTGGCACCAGGGACAGCCATGTGGAAGGCAGGGGCTCAGCACACTGGCTTTGGCATGTAGCCAGGTATACCCTGGTTCTGCTGATTCTTACAGTTGAGCTGTCACATTGCATGACGGAGTGTCCTCCCCTTTGCCACTGTGGGCCAAAAACACTGCCACAAAGTTCCTGGGACCTAGCATGTGCTCAACAAATCAGCCTATTATTATCCTTGTCTGACTTTTTGTAACTTACAACTTCTCATAACTTTCACTGAATACTCATATATGAGAGAAGGAAGGAAGAATAGAGGTGGGGGGAGAAAAAGACACACACACACACACACACGGAACAGGCTCTTACGTGTTCTTCACTCCCCAAGTCCCTGCAATGACCAGGGGTGGGCCAGGCCAGAGCCAGGGGCTGGGAACTCTGTCCAGATCTCCCACAGGGGTCGGCAGGAACCCAAGCTCTGGAGTGGTCATCTGCTATTTCCTGTGACATGCACCAGCAGGAAGCTGGGATTGAGCACCAAGATGGAACTTGAACTCAGGACTCTTGTATGGGATGGGATGTGGGCATTTCAACCCCATTGTCCTAACTGTGAGACCAAATGCCCATCCACTCTTTTCTTCTATAGACCTGACCAATGACTTGTAGATTTCAGAAAGTTGGCCCTCAGTCTTACCAGCTCAAATTCCTAAAGGGTGAGGAACGTTGTGATAATAATTTTAAGATTACAGTATGTCCTCAAAGCCTTTTTTAAAATGATTTAGACTTTTAGTACTTTTTAATTAAGGGTTTAGGCTGCCTGGTGCTTATTAAAGGGAGACTTACGTGTGGTGAACATAATTATTTTAAAGTATCTACAAGGATTCTTGAATGTTATCTTTCTGAGCTGGTGAGTGGGGGTGTCTATGTCTGTTCATTGTGGGAAAGAAAATTCACTTCTTCCTTTTGGGCTAAATGGTCGTGTGTATGTGTGTGCAATGTTTGTGTGCCTGAATTCAAGGGAGACGCTTTGCGGGGGACCTCGTGAGCTGAACACAGTGGCTGTTCCCTATGCACACGTGGGCGTGCATTCCCCACTGGAAGAAGGCTCAGCAAACCAGAGGTCTGAGCTGCTGTCCAGCCCCAACACCAACAGCAAGGGCCTGGCAATGTTTGCAGCCTTTAAAGATCATGTTTTCCAAGAATATTTAATAACAGAGAAATGTGAGCTAATGCAAGGGGGATTGTCTCTCAACTGTGCCCCAGGACAGTCCTGGTGAGTCAGCTATATCAACCGCAGGCAGGAAGGGGAGGCAGCCAGAGCTGCTTACTTGTGTCCGAGAGGAGGGCCAGAGGGAGCGTAGCAGAAGGTGCTGAGTCCAGGGAGGGGTGGGTGAGGACATGGTCTAGGGGCAGGGGTATTGTGAGAGGCAAGGGGAAGGTGAGGCCTTGGCAGCACTGCTGGCAAAATTTATCACTGTGGGCGATCGCCGTGTGAACTGATGCTGGGGGTGTGTCAGTCCGAAGCCATTGTGCATCTTTGTCTCAAAGCTATCTGGCAGTTGAGCTGTTGTTCTCAAGGCTGTTAGGTCCCCTAAAGTTGTGTCTTCCTGCTTATTTTAGAGTACTATTTGAAAGGCAAGTTGAATGTTGTCTAGGCCCATCATAGGAGGACCTGCTGAAATGAATCATATGGCTGCAAAAACAAATGGCATGTGCCTCATTCAGTTGCTCTCACAAGTATTTGTCCCTGTGGTTCCAGGGTCTGCTTTGAAACTTAGGTGAGATTTTTTTTTTTAAAGATTTATTTTAGTTTTATTGGAAAGTCAGATACACAGAGGAGAGACAGAGAGGAAGATC